AAAACAGGGAAGGGAGGGGGGGGGAGAGAGTAGAAATGCTTGGATTCCAAGCACTAATGAAACAGCACAGGTTCAGCGATCCACAAAGACGTTGGTTATAACAAGTTCGCAAAGAAAAAACAAACAAACAAACTTACAGCGCCACTTCATTCCGCACATTTAAACGAATACTATTTCAGTTTAGTATGAGTAAAACGTTTTACGGCACTTGCAACACATATAGAAGAGTATACTGCTCATACCAAACTCAGATCGAATCAAAACAATCCGATGAGGAAATCACACACTTGCGCCTAACTAAACCACTGAAAGACAAACTACCAGGTTAGCGACACAAACGGCCCGAGTTTATACAGAGAGAAGCCAGATCGTTGATAAGTAACTTCTATATCATCTTTCTTCGACACCCCCAGATCGGAGTCGCGTTTTCCACTCCATCCCCTCCCTTATAACTCTATCTCATCCGTTGCACATATTTGAGCTCATGCATTCAGTATTCCTCGTGTTGCCACATGATACGGAAATAACAAAACAAAATTGTCTTTAAAAAAAAAAAAATTTTTTAAAGCCCGTCATTTTGTGGCGAAAAAAAAAAAAGAAGCTATGTCAGAGCCACAAAACATAAGTGTATATTACAAAAACCCTGAGCGGGGGGGGGGGGGGGGGTGTCAAAGTAAGTGGAACAATGTTAGGAACACGACCAAAACTTGATTAATAAAACCGGGAAGACATGTCTAATCTAGACAGCAAAACATCTTGTCAGTTGAGTATGTTACTGTTTTTGGCGCCTTTAAAATGGCAGCTTGCACTGAATGCTTCCCAGGAAGCTGAGACTGTTTCAGAATGCTGTTAGGTCTGCTGGGGGCAATAATGTAGATTGTAAAGCGCATAGAGCTTGCTGTTATGCAGGAATTTACGCTATACAAAATATGCTATTTAATTTATTATTATTACTCAGCAGGTAAAAAATCACGTGCTGCTACCTTGAGAAGTACAAGATTAATATCGTCTCATGACTCCTGCGCA